TCAAAGACAACATATTATTTGTGTTACTAAACCACACACACTGATTCTTTTTGATTATGTGAAGTTGATCATCTGATGTAACCCAAGGCCAATGTTAGCTGTAAGGACTTAAGAGCAATATTCCTCAAATGCAATAAAAACTAGAAAGAAATACTGTATTTTTTACAAGTATTACATATGCAACAGTACATACTTTTATTCCTGCTAACACTCTTGTAGTGACTTACCTTTTTATCTGCTAATATTCCTGTTGTGGCTTCCTTTTTATATTCTATCCTTGCTAATATTCCAGTTGTGACTTTCTTTTATCCCCATTAACATTCCAGTTGTGACTTACCTTTATCTATGCTAACATTCTTCTTTTGACTTACTTTTATTCCTGCTAACATTCCTGTAGTGACTTACATTCATCCCTAACATTCCAGTTGTGACTTACCTTTATCTATGCTAACATTCTTCTTTTGACTTACTTTTATTCCTGCTAACATTCCTGTTGTGCTAACACTGAAGTCCAGATAAGCAATCATTTCTGGAGTAGGAGCCCTATAGATATTTGTTAGTTTTTCTTGGGTGGGTCATCAGTGTCCAGTATTGTAGGCCATGATTTGATATCCACCACATTACCTGCTTCCTAAGCAAAACATGAAGTATACACATTATTCATAGAAGTGCTTCTCATCAGAAGACTGGTAGCTGGACATTTTAAATTCACTTCTGTTTATTTAAAAAAAAATTATACTCTTCTTTTTCACCACAGTAAATATATTGTATTATTATTGTAAAGTTAAGAATCTCTTTTTGACTTTGAAATATCATTCAAATTAAGTATTTATTATTCTTTTATCATATAAAAGCATGTCAATATTAAAAACCAAATTACTTAGTCCTATTGAAACAAACTTGTCTAACACTATGGTAAGAGGGGTTAATGGTACTGTAAAAAAAAATTAACAGATATTGTGTATGAAGTAAAAAACATTGCATGTTTCAAATCAGTCTAAATAAACATACCTTGGATTTCAGTAGCTTGATAACAGGTGCAGTAGATAAAACTATTGCAGATTTACTGATGTCTACAATCATTCTGACAGTTGGTAGTGTTGTCTGTAAATTCTGAGGGTGAGGAGGCCGAATACAAACCGGTACAACACCTTTAACAATAACATAAAACAAATATATTTTTCTCCATCAGATTAAATTTTGCAATTGTATATGACTCATCTCAGCTACTGAATTGAATAAAAATGTTTCTAGATCACAAAACCTTTTTAACACAAACAGTTTTCTTATCATTCACTTATAATTAAGATCTCATGTAAATCATGATTTCATGGACTGCACAGAAATGGCCTAACATTATTTATCTTTTTTAACCCTAATGATCTGAGTTTGGTGGATTTGACCTAACTAAAATTATCAAATCAAACTAAGCATAATTCACAATTATAATGCACTTACAAACATTCACAGTTAAATCTTCCTTGTAATGTGGTGTAACAAATTTGTTATGTATTTATTTTAATATGAACGTTGTTTAGATTAAGTTTATAGTTAGAAACATACATAGCTTATACTGTTATATAGGTATTGTGAAACTCCCGCCTATTCTCCAAAGTTGTAGAAGATTCTCGAGAGTAAGAATCAACAATATATGTATATACGTAAATGTTTAAAATGTAACTTGCATTGTTAAGTAAGACTGAAATTTCTAAAATGCCTCCACACAGGTATAAATATAACCAATGCCACGCACCAAAATGACAGTGTCTATTATTAGTTTGCTATATATCGGTGTGCTATAAAACTTCAAAAGCTATAATTGTGATAGTTACAATGCTTATCAATTGAAAAACTTAAGATATCTGACCAGGAATATTCGTAAATTTCGAACGTAACAAATCATTTAACTTCAGTGGATTCTCATCAGACATTAGTAATTTACGAAGACATATAAATTCATCGTGGAAAACCTAGTGTGTGTGGCCAAGGACAAAGCTAGCTAGCTTCCCAGCAGATCGTCTCTACATCAACTCGTAATTAACTCGCTCATCGTGAACCCTCGATAAGATATCAAGGAGGTTCCAAACTAGAAATAAAACTTTATATTGTTTGTAAGTTTGTGAAACTTCTGTTTATAAATCATTGTTTGTAATAACTATTTGTAATAAGTGTTATTGTAAATTGTACTGTTGTGTGCATATTAAAACGTATTTGTGTTAAAAATGAAAATGGCGTGTATCAATCTTGTTGGCAAATATCGTAAACTGACTAATATATTGGCATTCATTTAAATACTAAATCCAAAGTAAAATTTAATTACTAAATTAAAATTATTTAACTTGGCTTCAGACTATTCGAAATTCTAATACGTAACAGTGAATATTTAGTTTATTTAGCTAAATGGACCATAACTGGTTCAGAGAAATGGAAAAAAGTAATATAATAGCAACAAATTTATTTTTGAAATAGTTCTTCATGCAAACTTGAGCTTGGATGTTTTTATAATATGTTGATAAGAATTTAATTAAACAAGACACAATAAAATAAAAATGGGTATATTGTGTTTCGTACAAAAACTCCCCTGCATACTGTTATACAGCTCAGTTGTTATGTGTCTGGGTGTACTATTATTCCATATGCACTGAGTGCAGTGTTCTGATCATGTGACTATATTTAATCCAGGTGGAAAACACTGTATACTGCAAACACGAAAATGGCATGTATCTAAAACAGCTAAAAATGTGTTTGCAGCAGATTGCATAAAACAGTATCCACCATGAGTTTTACACAGATAACTGGGACTGAATTCATTTTGGCCACCGCTTGTTTGTTTGTTTTGAATTTTGTGCAAAGCTACACGAGGGCTATCTGCACTAGCCGTCCCTAATTTAGCAATGAAAACTAGAGGGAAGGCAGCTAGTCATCACCACCCACTGCCAACTCTTAGGCTACATTTGACCAATGAATAGTAGGATTTACCATCACATTATAATGCCCCCATGGCTAAAAGGGCGAACATGTTTGGTGGGATGGGGATTCAAACCCATGACCCCAAATTGCAAGTCAAGAGCACTAACCGCCTGGCCATGCCGGGCCTTGGCCACTGTGCATCTATACTTTGAAGTGGAGATCAGTGCAACATGTAAATGATGTTCAAGAAAAGCATTCTAATTGTTTTACTTGGTTTTGCTGTTGTGTTAAAATGAAACTCTGTTCACAAAAATAATTCCATGCGTATTCTATGAAATATAATACTTTAACAACATAAACACTGTTGTGAATAAAATAAACAAAATTGCTGATTTTCACAAGACCTTACTTATTAATCACAAGAGAAAGCTATTTGTAAGTATATGATAACTAATTGGTATTTAAACTTTTACAGGATTCATAAAAAGAGAAACCTGCTGACAATGTGTAATAAAATTCACTAAATGTATATTTGTCATCCATTGCATATTTCAGAACCACATACTTTGCCACATGCAATCTGGTTAATCCTGTTTTAGAATTCATTTTTTCCCCTGCCACATTTATAGTTGAATAACTCTACAAGTGGGAGGTTTATTTTTAGATACAAAATATAAAATAAAATTAAACATGTTTTAAAATTTTATTATGCATATCTGAAACTTGAAATTGGTAAACTCTTGAAAGTTTGAAGGGAAATATCATTTCTTCATGGTGCTACATAACTTCCAAAATCTCTTTGTAGTGCTCTAGATGGGAGATATACATGTGGCCATGGCAGTGAAAGAGTTAAATAAACCTCCAGCAAACATAACTTCCACGTGAACCAGGCTAAACTCTCCACCCTCTTATGAACCAGTTATGAAATATTCAAAATTTGTCATGCACCAGCAAACTAACCAATAACTTGTAAGCAGAGTATTTGTTCTACAAACTTGTCAATTTTTTTTTGCCATCTTAAATTAAAATCTGTTGAATGAGTTTATTAAAAACATCATGGGAATGAGGCTGTGTTCAAAAACAATTACAATTTTTTTTATGGACATTGTATAAACGACATATATCAGATTTCGTCAGTGTTTCATTTTGATGGTTTCATAAATTCAAGAATGTGTCAAATTTCAGCCAAATTTGGGAAACAATTATAAAACAGTACATTTTATTTGTTAAAATTATGTTATACAGTTATAAAAGCAAATTCATCATTTGTAGTTGTAATAATAAATGTAGACTTGAAGACCATTTCATTGCTAGAAAGTTATTATGGAAAATCAGTTTAAGTAAATAAGTACCAGAAAATTGTTTACATATTTAAACTGGATTACAATTTTACACACAAATATCCCTATGCTTATTATTTTCAATGGAATTTTTAGACATTTTTCTTAATTCAGTGTTCATATTCTTTCAAAAAATGATGCTTATATATTAAAATTAAATCAAAATTTAACTAGAAATATCCTTATATGGTTAACTTTAAATGGAAGTTTTAGCCACTTTTCTAAATTCAGGGTAGCCACATTCTTCCAAAACATTATGTCTTATCCACTTAAAGTAGATTACAATTTAACCTGGAAATGTTCTTGTATGGATAATATTTAATGAAGTTTTTAGAATTTATGGTGGCCACATTCTTTCAAAAGATGATGTTTATATACATATGTTACGTCTCCGTTTGTTAATTGATTTTTCCGTAACTTCGTTCCGACGAAACTTAAGCGACACAAG